ACGCAAATATGCGCGATTTTAAATTGGCGTAAGCATGATATGTGTATTCGTGCATCAATTTTTCGATAGGAGATCAAGGGATAGACGCCTACAAGTCGATATAATACGAGATGAGGCATAAAAGAATCCACATTTATGCGATACTTGGTGAAGCGACATTATGTACATCTGCCGGACAGTTGGACACAGCGGCACACTTGCGTTGATATGCTGACAAACATGCTATTTACATATGGATAAATATAGTTCACATCAGTACGTATCCCTAGTTGGATAGAGCATAACTTAACACTTGCCTCCCAATTGCGCTTGCACGGCAATTTTTTTGAACGTGTTACAACTTAGCAATAGCGCTGTAGATAACATATGTATAAGTAACCAAGGGTATGTACAATCTGATGAACATTACCTTTGAGATGCAGTGATACATACCTAATGACAAGTATGTGTAGTGGTCGTTGAGTAAGCTGGTGAGCTTGTGGATGAGACTGTTCCGCAGTAGCTGGGGTTTTATAAATGTGGCGTGGTTCAGCACTTGCGACGTCAAGAGCTCTAGGATCTGTTGGTGCCGCCGTGGATAACAGATCAGTATTTGAAGAAAATAAAAAAGTGGGCGGGTGTAGGGGAAAGGAGGTTTTGTGAATTGCATTCAAATACGGTCTTTTGCACGTTGAAATATAAGACCAATATACGTAAGCAGTGCCTTATGTTTCCAGGACAACCAACGTGCAGTGTATTAAATGGTATCAAAAATGTACGCCAATAGTGTAAGAAGATGCGTAAAACGCGCGTGGTGTTTCCCGGGACATTGCGTGTGCACGGCCTGGTCTTCGGGGCCATTCTACTATTAAAGACGTATAGAATATAGTGTATCGTGATACGTAAGTAAGACATACGGAGTACAAGGTCTTGTACTATATCAAACATGTGGAACATAAGGGTGTAATGTAGCAGAAGACATAAAATATTCGATGTTGCGAAACATTTACATGCGGAAAACGTATCAAGTTATATAGGACAGAAGTAATACAGGGTATAGTGCAAAATGCAACAAAACGAAACATAGTAATCGGTTGCAAAGGATATACGGGAAAGGGGTGCTCTGCTACAAAAATCAAACGGGCTACAAGGTGTTGTGTTGCATACAATAGTGAACACAGTATGGAAATACATAAAACATGCCGAAAAAAAGGTGACGTGCTACACAAAAATACAGTGTCTGCATACCAATAAACATACCGAAATCAAGGTCTATCGTACTACATAAATTAATGGATATATGGAATTCATTAAATAGTGAATACAGTATATAATACATACCGAATATAAGGTATTGTGTTTGTCGGAGACATATTGTCTGTGGTCGGTTTGATCCTCGGGGACGGATATAAGCGGACCAATCAACTCATCAAAGCTCTTGTCGTAAAATCGGTTCAGAAATTGGAACTTCTCCCCTGTCTGCAAATCAAGAGGCCAAATTATATAAAATCATGCTTTTAGGATCTAGATGATCAGACGTGCGCTTACTGAATACAGTCTGAAATACATTTGAGCGCAATTTAAACAAATTCCACAGATAACATCCTACAGTGATGCTTAATTGATGGCACAAGGACTCGAAATCACGCCCTAAACATAAAATTTTGTATGAAATTCATATCGTAGATCGGAAGCCCGTGTTTAATACGACTATACACACAAATAGAGAAATATCTACTTTTCTGAACGACACACTACATTGTATCGGTGACAAGTACAATACGCGAGGCAAGCACTCACTTGCCACAATTATGTAAACTGAAGTATGAAAACTCCGCAAATATAAATACAGTTCTATGGTATTGATAGTGAGTACAATGCAAAAGAGAAAGTACATACTGGCTACAGCTCGCTACACTTAACTAAACGTGAATAGATTACACTACTGTTGATAGTACGTACCATAGTATCGGTGTCTAGTACAATGCGCAAGCACTCGCCGCACAGAGTTTTGGTGCCGTCGTCGGTGTCGGCTATGAATGATCTGATGGATGTCTGTAATAGTGGCGTTCGTGCATTGTGCTGCAATGCAAGATTTTGAACAAAGATAAAAATGTGAGCATATAATATCTGATGAACGATTTGTCAGGGTTAAGTTTAAGAATATGAGAAGATGGTGTGGTCTGCTATACGTAGACCGAAATGTGAATCATACACGAATTGATAAGTGCAATGGATACGAGGCGAAGATGATCTGATGGATGCATGTACAGTTGGCATTCTCACATTGTGCTGCAATGAGATAGAATGATAAATCATGAATTTTGAGTCTTACTATCTGGTGCAGGCGGTAGTATCCTGCAACACCACTAACCGAAAAAGCGGAATGATATCAAGTGCAAAAACACAACTCTACGGCAGTGACCTGCGCAGATATCATATCAAAAGAAAACACAATCGGTTCATACGAGATGGGTGTCCAATTGACGACTCAGCACTTTGTTGATAAACCGCCCATAAAATACACCCCCAAAAAATACAATTGGCTTGTACAAAGGGGAACCGACTGCACGAACCCAAGAACCCAATTCTAAATAGCCAAAATGCCCCAGAAAACATAATTCCGATTAGTGTAAATGGCCCGTGCGAAGGAGACACATACATACATACATACATACATACATACATACATACATACATACATACATACATACATACATACATACATACATACATACATACATACATACATACATATAAACATACAAACATACATACGTACACACATCCATTGACTTGTTACAATGCCACAAAAAAAGCGTGGAAAAAGAATATGACCTCTATCCTACAACAGGGACACCGAGTGGAGTACAAATAGGTACCGAATGCACAAACCCGATACTGAAATACTAAAATGTAACAGATAAAAAACTTCACTAAATCTACACACAAGGAAAGACAGATACACTAATACATTACAAAGGTCGTGAAACCCCACAGATAACATACTCTAGAATATTTTGACTGGCCCGTACACAAGAAAAAACAAGCGCTATACCGTCAGAAACACGCAAATATCATACTTCAGAACATTGTGACGCACCCGTACACAAGGAGCGCCCACTGAACAAATATACTGAAAAATAAATGGATAAAAAAAAAATTGCCACACTCAATATATTTCAGAAATGTATGACTGGTCCTTACACAAGAGGTATCAACCGCAGCAATACACTACAAAGAACACCAGAATGTCATTTCAGAAAAGTGTGATTGGCCCGGCCTCTACACACACGCACACACATATATATATATATATATATATATATATATATATATATAAGGACGGCCGACTGCACAAATACACTACGAAGTTTTTAAAATGCCACATAAGAAATAAATCAGAATACTATTTGTGGTAATTACTCAAGGATTTCCAACCGGAGTAATACACTATAAATGTCGATAGAACGCCACAAATAACATACCTCGAACTGTTTAATGATATATTGTCGTACACTGACCGGGTCGTGCGTCAGAGTCTTTACAAACAGCTGGACAAGGAGGATGCAAAGGAATGTGAACAGGAGAAAAAAATATAGGCACTCAGGTACCAAAAGAAATGAAATCGAAAACAGCTCATTCAAGCAGAATAATACACTTTATCATATTAGTTTTGAGCACCAAAATAGATATTCAACCCGGACTTTTATAGCGGATCAATAGACTTCAACACCTCAAGCAATAAATGAGAAGAAATCAAGTGTATAAAGGGTACACCTTTGATCGTTTGGACAGCACAGAAATGGTTATACACGCAATACGCTTGACCTGGGTACTTTGAAAGTCTACAGCTATCACTGTAAGTTGAAGCCTCAGAAACACACCTCCGCAGCCGCTTGTCGTGCCTCCATTTTCGGGTGTTTCAGTAACCGAGATAAAGCGTCTAACAGCCCTCGTGAGTGAATTTTCTGTGCGGATGGAATGTAACATGAATTGAGCTTGTCAGTGGGTTGTGACAAGCATAAGGCAGGTTATATATGCTCACATTTTTTAGTTCATTGAAATCATACGTCTAAAAAACCTCCAAGTTTTCATACAGGCATAATGCAGCATAGTAAAGTTGTATGTAGTTTGTGCATCCCAAAAGAGAACACTTCATCTGATCAAATGGAGTACTCAAATCAACCCGAGTCTGTAAGCACAATTAAAGTCGCATCAACCAATCTACGCACTCCATGAGTAGTGGGACACCATAGACATAATCAGCCCCTGTAGGTACAACGAAAGTCACAACATTCAGCTTGAGATAGAACATACGTCGGTCAACCTGCCTAAAAAACAAAAGCAAATATTGAAACCTTCTCTTATCCTGATGCTCAAGACACATATGGTTCTACTTTTGCGTATGGAGCAAACCGAATTAAATTATGTGACCAGATACACCCTAACTACGACACTATTAGTACTAGTTATGCTTCGCAGCGAAGCAACACAATTTTATATTTGGCAGATTCTTCAGTGTTTTTGCGATGGACACAGCTGCATATTCATCGTATGCACATCTGTTGGCATGTTTGCTTCGAACAGAACGACTGATCTATCTCCCTCTACGTCACCTCGCCTAGTTAATCTCAAGTCACTGTCAGCTCAACAAATTCGCACAAACACAAGCCGCTACAAATAAATATGACATGATTCCACTTCTATAGAACCTCCACAGCAACTCAGCCAAAATTTGTACGCCACTATAGTAAATAATGATATCAGCCTACGGCTAATAAATATGAAAAAGGGTGACCATTCATATACAAAATACTGTGATACAGCCTGCCCCGAACAAGGCCATCTAAACGCCCATCTGCCTAGACAGATCCACCAAGTCTTCCTATAACGACAAAATTCTTGCTCATAATCAATCAAATATACCATATATATATATATATCTATATATGTATATGTGTGTGTGCGTATGTATATATATATATATATATACATATACATCAATACATAACAAAAAC